CATCACCAAATGAAGAAATCATCCGGTCAACACACTTTTTTGTGTTATACCACTTCGAAAGTCATAATAAATCATCGCTCTTGAATTTTCTCGAGTCAATTCCATTTTCTCAACGACTAAACAAGTTTGACAAAACCTTGTGACAAGACCGAGAATCTTTTAAATAAATAAATGGTATTCGATTCTTAAAACCAAGGACTTTTCAATTAAAAAAAAAATTTAATATGACAGGAACAGTGGAAATATTCCATTCCCGATACTTTTAGTGCAGCCCTCGTATTTATACCTTTCTTCAGAGACATATCATATCTTGAAAAATAATTATATAAATAATATAACTCGTATAGTTGTAGCACGAATGGCTCGGCTCGACCGGGGAAGGACCATGCTCTCACAGAATACCAGCGTAAAATAGCAGCTTAGCACTGTTGTGTTTCGTATGGTGAGTGTAGAGAACCGGAGACCCTATTTACTGGAAAAGAGGCATTCCATCTTAGTCCTCACGGGTAACAACGCATCTGCATTTTGATTCGCAAAAGAGGATAGATGTAGATGTCTATGGGCCACAGCAACCACTTACCATTAGGTGGACTGTGTGCTCGTTTGACACCCTTATCCTATAAAAAAAATCTGTTTTCGTGCTTTTGTCTTAATTAAATTTATTTGAGAGAATATTCTTTCGCATGTTGAATCCAGTCATATTTTTTTGATGTTTACTAGTAGCGGCATGCTCCTTTAAACAAAGACATGTTACACACTAACATTATTGTATTTTAAAGTGGCGCTAGTAGTAGGGGAGCGGGGGGCTAGTTGTAACAATTTTTCGTTTCTTGTCTATGGAAGCTTACTTGTTGGGTATTTAGGAAATACAGCAGTACTGTTCGAAGGAGCTACTATTCAACTATCGGTTTCAAATAAAATTTTGATCAAACCTGTGATGTATTCTTATAAAAATGGCTTAGAAAAAAAATGGACAAGTGTTACAACTTACCCCGTGATTGGGGCTAGTTGTAACAAGCTTGGGGTAAATTGTAACAGTAGGAATTGAAAACCAGTTTTCTATTTTTCAAAGATTTATTTAGCATATTTAGCTTTAGAAATTAAGACACGCTATAACAGACATAAACTTTTAAGTTTTATGCTTATTCTAATAGAAAAATAATCAAAAACAAAGATGGTCTTTTTTTAAACTATAAAGGATGTTGCGTGGTTCAGAGGTGTAGCTTCAGGCGTCTTCAGAGACAGTTTTAGGTTTCTTACCATAAAATTTTTGAACCAATCAGGTCCGGCAGATGCGTTTTTATGCCATGATGGAGGTACATTTTTCGCTTCAATCATAACAGCACACTGGTATATCAACTTTCTGACTTCCAAAGCAAGCAATCCAAAGTAGATATTGGAGCAAGTTAGCAAGTACTCAGATATTTTAGCTTCTTCTTTCTTTTTAAAAACTAATCTGGGTTTGACATAGCCGACTGATAGAGATTTATTACTCTTCTTTTTTTCACATATCTATATAGCAACACATGACACAATATAAAATGTTTTGCAGCTTTTCCTACACTGGTTTTATTTTCCAATGCTTCTACAGAAGCCAATTCGTACACATCTTGGCTTTGGGAAGCACGTTCAGTTTTTCTTTTATAGTGTCTCATTCTGAAATAGATACAATCAATTAAGTTCAAGAAAAAAGTATTAAAAACATGAAAAGAAAAAATTGAAGTATGTCCCACGTAATTTCGCAGAAACAATATATCAATAAGGGCAATAAGTAACTTGTTACAACTTGCCCCATGAAAATGTTACAACATACCCCACTACACGGTTTTTAGAAATAACTGCTATAAAAAAATTTATCCCTTATTTGTTATAAAATTACAGTTAACATATTCGAAGTAAACAAATGTTAAATGTATTTGAATAAATAAACAACTGCTAAAAAATTTGAAATCAACAATAATCAATATTGTATAAACAAAAAAAAGTCTATTACCTGGTCTTATCGGAGCGCCTTCACAACACTGTATTCTGCGCCATCCAGCGGGATACTGATCGCGCTCATATGATGGAATGGGTATAAAATAGTAGGTTAGGTTGAAAATCAAATGAATATTCTTCTATTATCTATGTAAAAAATGCTTGTTACTACTTGCCCCTGTTACAACTAGCACACCGCTCCCCTACTATATTTACGTACAGTTGTTTATTATGACACGTTGCGCTAACAAAAAGAGACAAATGATATACCATACATACCATACATATGCATACCTATCGTTAGAAAAAGATGAATATACATCATTAGTTGCGTATTGATTGCTGCCGAGATGTTATCACCATGAAATCTAATGCGATACCAAACTAAAGTACGTCTCTTTTATAACTGATTGAAATATTAACCAACTCGTGTTAATTCGTTTTAAGATTATCAACTTTATACACAACATTTTTTAAAGTTGTTTGTTGAATGTGATACAAACATAATGCGAGAAATCTAGAAATACAGGGAAATCCCCAACATGCTGGCTAAGTATTTAGAGTTGCCATTTTCGTCATTTTAAGTTGCCATAATGAAATCTATTTTAATACCCAAATACTATCAGGTTTTAGAAAACGTCAACCGATCATGCCAGAGGCAAAAATAAGAGGCCAATCCTGCCAAAATGGCAGGAACCTGCCACATATGGTCACACTGGTTGTGACCCTTAGGAGTGTCTTCGATTCTCTACACTCATCATACTAAACAGTGCATCATTATTATTCTGTTACTTTTAACCCTGATATTTTCTGAGAGCATCATTCATTCCCGGTCGAGCAGACCCATTCATAGAGCAGCCAAAATATAGCTGCATAGCTCTATCGCTCGTTATCCTCGCATCCGGCAGTGCCGTACAGGAAAACTGAATCTGAGCTTTGCGGCTGTGAAAAGTAGTTATAAATTACTTTAGAAATAATTACACATAATCTAAATCTAGCAATATCTGTCACCTTTATGATTATCTTCGTTGGTATAGTATTGGTAAGCGCGAATGCTGTCCGTGCGAGTTGCCCGGAGTTGAAGGAGGTTAGTGGTCCCGACATCCCCCCCCCCCCCCCCCCCGTCCTGCGCAGAGGGCTAGTCTTCGTCCAAAAATCGGTCAGGGAGACTATTATTATTATTATTTACCTGTGTAATGGGTGCCGTGTGGAGGCGGCGTCAGAGAATCTTATTAACACATATCGTCCTGTGGGCGATGTAATTTCTAAGAGATAAACTATTTTATTACTAGAGGTATACGGATTACCGACTTGTATTGTCAGACGTAATTATATTGACGGACGAGCAACTCGCCGAGTTATTCGTGGACGAGTACGACGTGTTTACATATTAGTTTGTATTCTTTCAACGTAGATATTTTAAATATGGACGACTTGCGTCTCGTTTCCACGACTTTGTCTACTTGATGTTTATAGACTTAAATATTTATTTGAGGAGTGTGGAGCGGCCCCCCACCAGATGGAGTGACGACTTGGCAAGACACGCACGGATGTTGATGGAGGCAAATGGCTCAGAACCATGCTTTGTGGCATTCCTTGGGGCCTATGTTTAGCAGTGGACTTGTGAATAGCTGTAATGATGATGATGATGAAATATTTATTTTCTTTAATATTTATTTAAAACTAATTTCTAGGACACCATATCACGAGTTCTCCTTGATAAAGTTCTATAAAAATAGTGGAGTAATGAATCCACTCTCTCTCCCTCTCTCTCTAACAAATCCATCATAGTAGATAGGTATTTTTTTTACTATTTTATTTTAAATTATAAGAAAAGTAATAACCACTTGCGACAAAGTTCACGAGTCTAAGCGAATAATTAGGAGTATGTAAACACCGATACGAACACGAGCATTCCTCTGTCTCGTGCTAAAAGACCGACAATTTTTTCTTCGTATCGTATTCGTATCAATTTCGATATATTTTAAAATGTATTAATGACAAAACATGTAACAACAAAAGGAGGTACAAAAGTATTCATGTGTGGTTGATTTTCATCATTTGTTTCGTCGTCCAACCGGCAGTAATATAGAATTTTGAACCTTTTCTTTACATCATGCAAATGATGACGATATGATTGTTGTTACAGGTTTTGTCATTAATAAAACATTTTATAACATATCGAAATTGATACGAATTCGATACTCTAAAATAAATATCGATATATTATCGACATATCGCGATTTTAAATATCGACTATATATATATAGATATTTTTTGACCAAGCCTAGCCTAAAAGTGGAGGAGGTGTCACCGCATATGTCAAAGATTCATGGAGTATAATATCTTAAGAACCGTTGAGTGATCAGTACGATTGCCTAAACTTAAATAATCAAATTACTATTTAGGGATATATGAGTCTACCCTCTATTAACAAAGTGAATAACTTTTTAACCGTAACAGTCTATTAAAGTCCACTGTCAAACATAGATCTCCGCATAGATTCATGCTCATAGGGAGGATATTGGCCATAGTTGCCACGTTTGGCAACCGCAGTTTTTTTAAACAGTAACGATATATATCGCGTAATAAATATCGATATATCGTCATCATTTGCATGATGTAAAGAAAAGGTCCAAAATTTTATATTAGTGCCGGTTGGACGAAGAAAAAAATAACGACAACCAACCACACATGAATACTTTTGTACCTCCTTTTGTTGTTACATGTTTTGTCATTAATATAACATTTTACAATATATCGAAATTGATACGAATTCGATACTCTAAAATAAATATCGATATATAGCGAATTTAAATATCGACTACAGATAGCGCGCGAGTTGAATGCAGAGCTCAGGAATGCGATAGTGCTGTGACCTAATTAGAATTAATGATGACAATATGTCGATAAATTTCAACATTGTTTTAAGTTTAACGTTTTAAGTTTAGAAAAAACAAGGTAATAATTATCACACATTTTTTATTATTTTGCACATCAAAATCAATAAAAAAAATTATAATTTATGCAGCATCAGATTCTGAAATGGCAGACTTTGTTGAATCGGTGTCACTATCCTCACCATCGCTGACCTCAATTACGAATCGATCTATGGTATCTTCCATTAATCCATCTCTTTGCCAATAATTTTCGTCTAAAATTATGACGTGATCGTCGAAGCCACGCCAATCTTCCTCTGTGACCTGAGAGAGAACCAGCTCCGTAACTTCTTTTAACCTTTTTAGGGAGAAATCAGAAGTAACATTGTGATGCCTTACAATTCTTTTTACTTTTGCCCAAGCCAACTCAATAGGGTTGAGGTCGCACATGTACGGTGGTAGTCTTACTACGATATGGCCTTGACTTCTGATGAATTCATCGATTTTAAAAGATTTTTCCGTAGGTTTATGTAACTGAACCAAGTAAAAGAGCTGATCTTTTCTCATAGTAAGTGAAGCTTCGAAATTGTTCTTGGTTAACCATTCCAACATTACTGATTTGGTGCTAGACTTTGTTAGGACTTTATTGTCTTGTACACTATGATACGGTGCGTTGTCCATCACAACAACGCTGGTTTGTGGTGGATTAGGGATTAACATATCAGTGGCCCACTTCTCAAAATTAACACTGTTCGTGATAATCACCTGATGTAGTACCAGCCTTAAAAAGTAACTTTGCACCATTTAAAAACCCTCCTCTTGATCCTGCGTGGACAAGAATGAGCCTGTTCGTAGAGCTTGTATCCGTCAACACGGCGTCGATCATTTCATTTCTCCAGTATTTTTTAAATGTGAGGTTGTTGTCTACCCATGTTTCATCGAGAAAAAAATATTTCGATCTTCTTGCCTATATTGACGAATTTTCCGCAAATAAATTGACCGTGCATATGCGACAGCTGGCCTCTCCACCAAAATTCTACGATTATTATGATATTTAAGCCATCTATGTCCCATGTCTTTTAACAATCTTCTTAAACTCGTCACTCCCCATGGAAACTCGATTTTTTCTCGAATAGCTGCGAGGAGTTTAATGCAGGTCGGAACAATTTTTTTAGTTAAATAAAATTCTTCAATAATTCTGTGTATAACATCTCGATCAAAATCATCGACGTTTAAATTTGTCTTGTTACACTGTCTTTTCTTTTTAGAAGGCGAACAAAGAGGCCCTTTTTGGCTTCATTTTGAATTGCAGACAATGTTCTCTTCGAAAGTCCAGTGTAACGGTTTGCGCGATCGTAAGCATTATTTAATGTGAATGTTAAATTGTTGTTCTGCCTTTCTTTAACACACATGTCTAGAACATTTTTTGCCATTTCCCGTACTTGGCGATGAATAAAAACTCGTTTTTTTGTAACAGAACTTGACGTACACGGATCAGACATCATTAAAAACAAAAATAACACGCGGCTGCAACTTTATATTAACACGATCACACAGTAAGCGTATGATAGTTGTCAAGGACAGCACAGCAATACACTGCTGGCGCGCGAGACGCGGCGTGCGGACGGCGGGGGGAGATGCTCCCGCTCTTCACCTCAGGCCCCGACGGCATTCAACTCGCGCGCTATCTGTATAAATATCGATATTTTTATTAAAATAATATCGTTATTTCCATATTTTTTGCCCAAGCCTAGCCTAAAAGTGGAGGAGGTGTCACCGCATATGTCAAAGATTCATCGAGCATGGAGTGTAATATCTTAAGAACCGTTGAGTGATCAGTACGATTGCCTAAACTTTAATAATCAAATTACTATTCTAGGGCTATATGAGTCCGCTATTAACCTTTTGACCGCCAAAGTCGCCTATGCTTGACCAGCACTTGTGGGCCCTGTGTGCCAACGACGTCTATCATCATTATCATCATCATCATTACAGCCCTTCACAAGTCCACTGCTGAACATAGGCCTCCCCCAAAGAATGCCACAAAACACGGTCCTGAGCCACCTGCATCCATCGACTTCCTGCATGTCTTACCAGGTCGTCACTCCATCTCGTGGGGGGACGCCCTACACTTCGCCTACCGGTACGAGGCTGCCACTCGAGAACCTTTCTTCCCCATCGGTTGTCGGTTCTTCGAGCTATATGGCCGGCCCACTGCCACTTCAGCTTACTAATCCGTTGGGCTATGTCGGTCACTCTGGTTCTACTGCGGATATCCTCATTCCTAAGTTTATCACGCAGAGAAACTCCGAGCATAGCCCTCTCCATAGCTCGCTGAGCGACCTTGAGCTTCCTCATACGGCCAGCAGTGAAGGACCACGTCTCAGTTCCGTATGTCATCACTGGCAACACGCACTGGTTGTACAATTTCGTTTTAAGGTTTTGAGGTATGTCTGACAAGAAGATGTGTCGTAGCTTCCCGAACGCTGCCCAGCCGAGTTGAATCCGTCGATTGACCTCTCGGTCGAAGTTGGACTTACCCAGTCGGACTATTTGTCCCAGGTAAACATACTCGTCAACAACTTCGAGCTTAGTGTTCCCAACAACTACCGGCATAGGTGTGACATGGACATTAAACATGATCTTAGTTTTGTCCATGTTCATCTTAAGACCTATCCGTTGGGAAACACTATTGAGGTCATTGAGCATAGTGCTTAGGTCCTCCAGCGATTCTGCCATAAGGACTATATCGTCGGCAAATCGAAGGTGAGTGATGTACTCGCCATTGATGTTGATACCGTATCCTTTCCAGTCCAGAAGCTTGAAAACGTCTTCCAATGCAGCGGTGAAGAGTTTCGGGGATATGACGTCACCCTGTCTTACACCTCTCTGCAATTGGATAGGTTTCGTACTCTGGTTCTGTACTCGGATAGCCATCGTAGCCCTACTGTACAAGCACTTCAACACTTCGATATACCGACAGTCAACTTGGCACCGCTGAAGGGACTGCAGCACCGCCCAAATTTCGACGGAATCAAAGGCTTTCTCATAGTCCACATACGCCAGACATAGTGGCAAATTGTACTCTTCGGACTTCTGTACAACTTGCCGAAGGGTATGTATGTGGTCTATGGTGCTAAAGCCCTTTCGGAAACCGGCTTGTTCGGGAGGCTGGAAGTCGTCAAGTCTGCGCGCGAGACGATTCGTAATGATTCTCGAAAACAGCACGTAGACGCGGCTCAGAAGGGAAATCGGTCTGTAGTTCTTCAAGAGAGCGTTGTCACCTTTCTTGAAGAACAAGACCACCGCACTTCTGCTCCACGCCTCCGGTGTAATGCCACCATGGAGGACGGAATTAAAGAGCTTCTGAAGGACTTCAAGTACCGGTCTTCCACCCGCTTTCAGAAGCTCCGCTGTAATTCCATCCTCGCCTGGGGCCTTACCGTTTTTAAGGTGCTGGAGAGCCATCCTAATCTCGCTCAGACTGACATCCGGGATATCTTCGGAATAGTGTCGGATGAGACTCGCTCTTGGATCGTTACTCACACTTGCGTGTGGCTCCAACGATGATGTGTACAGCTGCCCTCGTCTAAGGTGGCAACCGAACCTCCACCGGAGATTCTTAGCACCCCCTGCCCCGCCGTTACCATGGTCGCCACCGTAGCCAGGAATAGCGGGGCCGCCGGGGACTGGGGGCCGTTTTTTTGTTGCTCTCATCATTGGGGGGTATTTGCCATAGTTGCCACGCTTGGCGAGCGGGTTGGCAACCGCAGTTTTTTTATTGTAATTTGGCTATTATCAGGAAGATGCTGCTGCCCATCTCCTGGCTGTTTCCCTTTGTCGCCTTTTACGACACCCACGGGAGGATATGGGGTAGTGGATATTCTTGACCGCCACTACACGGCAACGACGTCTATAGTTGACTGAAAACCCGGCCCACAAAAATATGAAATATAGATATTGGAAAATTATTACTGGTATTTTAATTCCACACTCGTCAAAAAAGAATAACCCAGCAACATGTGAGTATAAAAAACAAATCTCCTGGAGCCACAAGTACTAAGTTAGAAGCATAAAACTATAATTAGCTACATGATTTAAAAAATATTATCAATTCATTTTCGCATAATAAATCTAATATTTCAACTCAGGCGCATTCTTAGCGCGTCATCGAAAATCAGTTCACTGGGCGCCGTGGTCAAGGATAGACGACACCCTGATGACGTCATAAGTGATTAGCGTTTTATACAATTGTTGATTAGTGAATAATTATGTACCTTTTTTATTTTAATAATATAAAATTACAAATAATAAATGTGTTTTTTTTACTTAAGGTATGAAGAGCAATTTTTCGTTTTGTGTTGTGCGATTTTCTTTCTCAATCTCAAAATCATCTGGCAGCATCAGCGTCATATCAAACCCCCATTGTCATAAGAGCGTAAGACTTTTCTTCTGTGCTTCATTTGGCCTACGCCTCCCCCGACACATAAAATATTTTGATTCGATGTCTGTATATTTTGGTTAGATCGATTTCGAAATCGATACACAACGTGCTACACGGCTACATCTCTAAGAAAGTTTCAAAAAAGGAAGGTCAGCTACGCCGTTGTCGTCCAGCCGTGACGTCATCACGATGGAGAATAGTGCTGTGGTTTACTACTATTTTATTGTTATTGTTTGTTTTTATTTATGTACAAAGTACATATATAAAAAGAGGGGAAGACAGCACAAGATTAAATAAAACATACCAGATTATAAAGAGTAATTTATTGCATAAAAAAACAACAAAAACAAATTATTTTGTGTTATCGATATATCAACTCTTGGCAACACTATTATTTTCGTAGGTATTTTGTTTACTTTTCACTTTCCCGTACAGGACACGGTAATGCGTTTTTGGCGTGGCGGTCAAAAGGTTTCAACTTTGTGTGTGAATAACTTTTTAACCGTAACAGCCTATTAAAGTCCACTGCCAAACAGATCACCCCATAGATTGCCTCATAGTCTGTATGGATATTGGCCATAGTTGCCACGTTTTTTTATTTTTAGTAGTTATTGAGAAGAAGCTGACAAGATTTTATTGGCCAACTTGGTCTGACCTATGGCCAAGCCAAAGAGTATAGTAGGTCAGGCCAAGATTATTTTTAAATTAAGTTAAATATAACAGAGTCATTACTATGTTCGTATCCAAAAATAAAAAAAATATCAACAATTAAAATATCGAATTATTTTATGAAGGTCAAGTGAGCTCTAGAGAAACGACGATTGCAAGACGTCAATAAATAAAATGTTTAGACAAATTATCAATTACCGTATAGTGGCGGTGTATAAATATCAATATCATCCCGTGAGTGTCGTAAGAGGCCACTATACTAGAATTATTTTGTCCGTGCAGTTTGGGTCATAAATCAACGGAGTATTTCGCTCTCTTTCCCACTCACGGGCCTTAGGGGCGAGCATAGTGATGCGTAGCATAGTTATCGATAGTGTAATTAGTTTTGTCATTATGTGGGTTAGTGATAAAAATGAAAAAAAAATAATAATAGATAAAACAACGTATTTATTAAAATAAGAATAATAATGATTTAAAATAAATTATTAATTAGTATTAAAAAAATTATAAGTAAAAATATTTTGAATGTAACAAGTTATATTGAAAATAAATATAAATATAAAGATAATAACTTATATCTAAAATTAAATCTAAAACTATTTATACATGAATAACTATAAAAAAAAGCATGCAGAAACTACTCCAGAGCTAACTGATCCAATTTGTATATTTTTTCAGGTCGGTTCCGTTG